ACCGGAATACAGTCACTGGCCACTGGCCAGGATGGATAAGGCTGACATATTCCGAAGCAACCAATTTTTCAACCTGTCGCCCATTCATTTGAGGATCACAAAATTTACATAACAGATTCTCAAGTGGTCTACAAACTTTAGAATTGCTCGCACAGATTCTTGACAGATATTTTAAATTTGGCACGAGCCTCAAAATTACCGTGAATATAAATCTATGTTTTTGGTTGGCTTGAGAGGGATTGCAGGGGCGCTTCGGACCTGGTCGCCAAGCACGTGACCGCGTCGCGCGAGTCTTGAAGTTAAGTTTAAGCTTTCTTCAACAGCTTTCCTTTCATCGCGCTCACCTTGGACACCGCGAAACTGTTACAAGCAGAGATAGACGCCGCCAGCCGCTATATTTTCTCGTTCGAGTCATAATCAACTCTCAGGACGTAAAACGGACGGGCAAATGTCGCGTGGGGTCACACGGTGACATCCACTTGTGCTGTCGACGTCCATGGTCGTTTCTTGCCTGTATATCTAACCATAATTCCGGCCTATTGCGGGTTAAAACCCTCGAAGTTCGAAATCTTGCGCCTTTGCGATACCCATTTTCGACGCGTCAAGACTTAAGACACAAATTTTCAAAGCGGCAACGACCCATGGACTCAAGTCTCTGTGTGCTTTTGACTGTGATCGCCTTGGAAAAGTCGCGGAACCTTCTCTCTATGGAGTCATTTCTAGTCTTTCAAATTCCCAATTGTTTATTCTGAGTTCCCAAACTTTGTGCATTTGTTACTCTATAATTTGGATTCCTCAAATTCCACGCAAGTATCATCGGACGTCATTCACCAAGCAAATTCCTTGCCCACCCTTATTACGCTCTTCATCAATTCCTCAAGCTTCAAGGCCGGCGCCGACAACGCCTCTCGTGTACCGAAAATCTCCCGAGTATGCTGCGCACCACCCACAGCTCTTCCCGGGTGAGCTGCGGCGCTTGCACAGTGGAAGATGGTTACCCACATCGACCTTTTCTTCGCCCGCGATATTTTACCAAATTGCGGCCTCAACCCAGCCTCGTTCGAGGTCAACCAATCTTCAAATCAGTTCCTCGCGCAGGGGTAATTTGCAAGTCGTCGGAGAACCTCTTGCCAGCATCGCCTCACACCGCCCAAGATTTAACGCCGATGGCGCCGTCGGCCCACGAAGTCATAGGTTCTGTTGACAAATTTAACCGGTTCTATAAGACCTGTCCCGCTACTTCCTCGCCCAGCTTTCGCCTCCCCTCCGTGAACTTTTCTCGCAACCAAGACCCAACCACCCTGCGCCGTTCTTTTCTTGTGGGGGGGGGGTCATCTTTGTGCGCGGCGGAGACCTACAGTGGGAGAAAAGAAACGTGCGAGTCCGTAACACTGAACAGCAAGCGGAAGTAGAGAGAGGGCAGGACGGTGTACGACGTATCAGCGCACGCGGGCGTAGGCTGCGGCGAGACGCGGAGGTAACGTAGACGTGATGCGGGCAGCGGGGCAGAACCTAAAATCGGAATCCACATTATGATGAATGAGTGAATGAGGGATGAGGGAGAGGTGTGGGAGGTGTGGAGCGCAACGAGAGAAGCCGGGAATGCGAACGGAAGGCGGGGAGGGATGGAGGAAGAAAGGGAGGAAGGGATGGGATGGGCGGGTCTTCGAGTTGCGACGCGACAGACGCGCCGGCGACACGCCGCACGCCGCACAGACCCGTCGCCACTCCGCACGCGCGCTTCCACCCGCCCGCCCACTCGGCGTCTGGCATGTTCGTGCGTGCGTGTGCGGCGGCCGCACCTCTATGTACCCGTCCCTGTGCGTGGGCTCCACCGCACCCGCACGCGCGACAGACCCCCCGCGCCGACTCGCGAAACACAGGCGGGGATGGATGTCGAAAGGCCCCCCGCCCCCGCCGCGGACGCACTCCACTCCCCGCCTGCAGCCCGGCCGCACACTCCGCATGTCGGCTCAACTCGTGCCCACGGAGCGAATCGCCCGGCGCGCGATGCCCCACCACTCCGCAGCGCGCTCGACGCCACACATTCGGCGCGCGATTCGGCCCAGCGAAGAGATCTGCATGCACATCCAGCACGCGACCGCGCCTGCACACTCCGAGTGCCGACGCGCACGCCCACAACGGAGCGTGCAGGCACTTGCGACGCGCGCCACGACAGAAAAAAGGAGAAGAAAAAGAATGTGGCGCAACGAACGCCACCGGAGCGAGGTCGGCCAGGGGGGCTTGGATAGGATCGGATGCGGCCGGCGGGGACCTACTGTAGGAACGAGACGGGCCCATTGACAGCACGCGACGGGGGGGTGTGTGGTTACCGAGACCGGGACCGGGGGAGGTCGAGGGCGAGACTCGTACGGCGTGGTAGACGTGGACGTGGATTGTGGATTGCGGATGGGGACGTGTGGACGGAATCTAACCTAGAATTGGGCGCGATGTCAATGAAGGAGAGTCGGCGGTGGAGAGTACGAAAACAGGCACGTCGTGGAGACGACCCGCACCACCACACCACTGCGACGGCGCGCGCTCCTCTCCCTCATCATGCGTGTGTTTCCACATAGTCCCACCCAGACGATACCAGCCGATGGCGACAATACCCGGTATTGCACCAAGCGTATATGAAGCGCTTTCAGGTGGGGCTGCAAAGGCAAAGGACATGGATCGGACGGTCCACATCGCACCACCGCCCCGCAGCATCCGCATGCGGACCCGTCTACGCCCACAGACCGACGCCGACACGGACAGACGCCCCCCGTACAGGAGCACCGCGCTGCACCGCCGACCGACGACCGACGACACTGACGACCAACGACACTGCCGCAGACGCTCCCGAGCTGCACAGCTGTCCCCGTCCCCGTCCCTCGTCTGCGCCGCGCCTGTCCCCGGCCTCGTCTCCGGCCCGTCCCTCGCTTGGCGCGCCACCGAGCTCTCGTCGACTCGGCGCCGACATGCACACATACACCCGCGTGCAGCCCCAAGGTGAGCGCAGACGCCCTCGCTTCTGCCGCCCACCCCGTCACTGCGCGCTGCCCGCAAATGGGACATGCGCCCCTGCGACACACATGCGGGACTGCAGTCGTGGGATGGGATGGGATGGGAGGGGAGGGGTAGATGATACGCCGCGAGCGAAGCGACACCGCCAACGCCCATCGCGACGTGCGTGCGGGAGGCCCCGCGCGACACGAATCCCGCGCGCGGGTCGCTCTCGGGTCACGGTAGTGTGATATTCCCCGCCACCGACGCGACGTGCATCGTCGATGCGCACGTTGGCAGCGCCCAAGGACTCACAAAGCACACGGCCTCATGCACCCACCCGCCTGGCGCGCCCTCCGCTAGCGGGCTGCATCGTTAACGTTTTCGTTTCTGCGCCAGTGCCCAAAAAAATTGTCGCAGGACAAGATTCCAGCGAGTGAGGTACCCCGAGAGCGAAGAGATCGCAGCGAGCGTGGTGCGGCGGCGGCGGCAGCATCCGAAAAGAAAGGAAAGAACGCGGACACGCCTTTGCATCGTGCGGGCAGCGGGCGGGGAGGACTTCGAGTGGCGCGGGCTGGAGCCTGAGGCCTGAGAGAAGGACTTACGACGCATGCTGTGTGCATCGACGATGCGTTAGCGCGCCCAGAAGACTCTGAAGAGCAAGCATTGCGGAGGCGCGCGCATAGAGTGCGTAGGCGATGCGGATGCGGATGCGGATGGATGTGCGCGCGATATTGAGTGTACGACGAGGGCAGAGGAGGGACGGGTGATGGCGGCTGCCAATGGGAGGAGAGAACGGTCCTCGAGCGGCAAGAATGGAAGCTCTGCAGTGCTAGTGCTGGTAGGCGGCGTGGGCGGGCAAATACGCGGCAATCGGGCTGGCGTCAATGTGGCAGTGCTCGGCCTCGATACTACAGAGCTGCAGCGGTAGATGTGAGAGCGCGCGACGTCTGCGCTGGCTCAGAACCTTGCTCAGAACTGGGGCGACACAATTCCAAGGGGAGATGGATGCCCGCGGGCTTGCAGGTCGTCCTGCATGACTTGTGGAATGCATTGGGGACAGCCCAGCCGAGCATACAAGACTAGAGAGTATCCTGCATAATTGTGTTCGTAGAGAACAAACGCCAAAGAATCGCATTCCGGAGAATTGAAGAAAGCAGAGCCCGTCCGGCCCGCGTTGATCCGCATCCGTCTACCCTCCAAAAAAAAAACACAACTTGGACTGACTTGAACATAACTAGTGGGCTGATCCGCGCTGTGGTAAAGGGCTGGAGCGAAAGGAATCTGGATGAAAATTGAGACAAAAAGGGCTTTTCCTGCAATATATGACCTGACCCGGAATCGAACCGGGACCTCCTGACCATAATCCGAGTTGTTCAATTAAAGCAGGCGCACTAACCATTACACCATCATATCCATGCTGAACCTCTTTGCTAGTTACTGTAAACAAAATAGAATTCCGAAATCTCAGTCGACTGTCGAACCACTCCTGGTACTGAGTCCAGGACCGGGTCTCAAACCCGTAATTTGAAATCACCTTGGCACGCTCTGATCACACCAGCTGTACATTTTTTCAAGTTACATCTGCATCGAGGCGCCGCGAGTGTGAGCCACGATTAAATCTCGTAATCGACTTGGCTGCTTTATTTAGTTTGTGCTGCCAGTGTAGGCTCTGAGCAGAGGTCACACCGCCAAATCAGAACTTTCAGCCCAGCCATCAGCGGCCGAATAGGTTCCCGAAAGCAATAGTTTCGGCCGAGCTGAAACTCACGGAATTGCTATATAAGGCAAGTGATTACGATCACCTGCCAAATATGGGAATTTTACGAATTTCAGCCCAGCCGAAACTATTGCTTTCGGGAACCTATTCAGCCGCTGATGGCTGGGCTGAAATTTCTTTTTTTGCGGTGTGGGTACATACCAGGGATGCCTTGGGTACAATGGCGTCGTGCTGACAGAAGGAAATGGAAAAACAAAAGTTCTAAGCGCAAAAGAGATACAAGCAAACTGAATTACCTGACCCGGATTTGAACCGGAGACTCCCGCTCACTTGTTGGCAATGACCTATTCAAAGCGAGCGTGTTAACCACTACACCATCAGGTCATTGCCTGAGGCTCTGTCCCGATAATAAACTCGAAGCATCCGCATCCAGTCATGCCCGCAATCGAACGATGCGACACTCAATTCGGACAGCTCACCTTCTGGGGTAGACATGCCTAGAGAAAGGTAATAGTAAAACGAAGAAATGTACAAAAACCAGCAAAAGAACATCTTCATGACCCCACCCCGAATCGAACAGGGACCTCCCGAATGCATGCTTACGTGCAGCTCTATGTAGTTGCGTCAGGCGTCTTAACCATTACACCATGGAGTCATAGCAGTGCTGCGGTAATACCTGGCCTAGAAGAGGCTGGAATAGTGAGCTGTCAGTTGTTCAACTTCAGATTACCAAGTCCTGTGGTTCGAGCCAAACTTCAACAAAAAGACCGCACTCACCTTTTGCGGTCACAACGTTGGTGAGACCGGGGGACAACGAGGAAGGAGAGTAGTGAGCACCCACACAGTAATGGAGCCTCACAGAGAGCCAAAATATTGACACGATAATTGCTCCACCATCATCAGTTCAATGCCAGTCCTCCATCTCTCCCTGTACAGTAGTCGCGGTCAGAGTAGCCGATTATCGACGATTATGGTGTCGATTCTCGTGCCGATTATGGACCCGATTCTCGAATTGTTTGAGCGTGGGATAATCGTCGAGAATCAGAATCGACAGAATCGGTCGAAGCGACTCTGGAGTCGATTCGACAGCGATTCTCGATTACGATTACGTTCTCGTTTATTGCTTTCAACCGTCGAGTGAAGCTTTGACAAGAATCGTTTTCAGAATCGGTGCGGTCAGAATTGAGCCGATTCTGCGCCGATTCTCGCACGATTCTGCTGCTCAATAAATTTGAGAATCGCCCCATAATCGGCACGTTAATCGTCGTCAGAATCGCCCAGAATCGGCTACTCTGACCGCGACTAGTAAGACTCACTGCATTGTTGGGTTGAGGACAGTTTCCACCTCTACAGCTGCCACTGGCCTGAGTAAAAGAACCTTGGGACTCGGAGGAAAGGAATCTAACTGTGTCGCGCCCCAGAATGTACGAGGGAACGAGGCCGAAACCTACAGCAACACAAGGCCACTGGTGATTCTTGCAGTTGGCCAAAAGCAAAATTAATAAACAAATAAATAAACCCACCCAAAATGCTCGAAGGAAATATATATGTGCGGTACCGGAAGAATGAAGAGGGGTGTGACTTCTTCGAGGCCTTCACTGCGTTCCGGGGTCGCCTAAACATAACAATGCGCAGCTATTCGTGGAGCTGTTTAGCCGTCTGCGCTTAGCTACACAGCCTCTGTTTAGCTCTGCTTAGCTCTGTTTAGCTCTGTTTAGCTGTCTGCGCTTAGCTACACAGGGCTGTGTAGGTCTGTGTAGGTCTGTGTAGTGATCTACACAGCTCCACGAATAGCTGCGCATATTATGTGCAGCTATGTGTAGTTATGTGCGTAGCTGTGTGTAGCTGTGCGCAGGTGACCCCGGAACGCAGTGCTTGGTTTCCCACGGTTGAACCATGGTAAAACCCGACTCGAATTCAAAACAGAGACCCACCCATCAAGGACTGCAAAAATGAATTCAGCCGAGTGAAGGAAAGAGGAACTTGAATTCGATGCCAGTCTATTGGATAACCTTGGGTCCGAGGGATCCGTAGCGGAGCACAGAAGGAATTGTCAAGCCCATGTTCACCTTTGAATCCCCTGCACTTTTCTGAGTTGGGTATAATTTTCAAACCTGATTTGGGACACGGGAATTGAACAAACAAGCACTGTGTTCCGCGATTGTCTGCGCTTAGTTAAGTACAGGTACCTACACAGATGACTGTGTGTAGCCGTATGTGTAGCTATGTGTAGGTCAGCGTAGGAACCTACACTCAGCTACACTCACCTAGGAACACCAAGCGTAGTCACCTACGCAGCTCTGTAAATAGCTGCACGGAGAGCTGTGTGTAATCTGCTGGACAGAGGCTGTCTAGTTACCTATGCTCACCTACAGATCTGCAAGTAGCTGCGCACAGCAGTAAGTTTAGGAGACCTCGGAACGCAGTGAAGTTAAAACAATGGAAAAATCAATCATGAGTTGTCGGATGCGGGGAGTCAAACCCGGCACTTTATCCTTCATTATGCAGAGGTCATTGTGACTGGCTAAGACAGCTCACTGAGCTGTGAGTTCTTGGAGGCACAAATAAATACATAAATTCTCCAAGTCAGCAAGCATTGCATAAATAAGTACACAAAAAAGAATGGAAACAATTACATAATCATTGAAAGCACTCAGACCACACCAACACAGCCTGCTCTTCTTCCAACTCACTCTCATATAAATCCTCATCAGCCTCCTCCACCGTTCCAGTAGGAGCAGTGAGTTCTGTGAGTCGAGCCATGTTGCTTCTATGCTGTTCCCTCAGATCCTTGCCTATCCCAGCCAGCCTCTCATCAATATCTTGAACCTGCTTGGCCTGAGATGAGCGCTCAAAGAGGGGCCTTGCCGTTTCCCAGAGCTCCAGTGCTTTCAGTAAATCACCACGCTTCTTGGATATATCCCCAAGTCGGATCATGCACTCTGCTCTGCTGCGGTGGACATCCATCTGGCTAAACCCCTCTAAGGCCAGGGTGAACAGAGAGATGGATGTGGCTTCCTCACTCTCCCGAAGGAAAACATCACCTAAAAATTGTAACCCCTTGTAGATTCCTTGCCTCTCTCTTGCCTTGAGAGAATGTGCAAGGAAAACAGCAGGCCAAGAGGTTGGATGATGACATCCCTCCCAGCGATTGATATCTGCAAGTCTCTCCAGGCAGTAACTAACTGCCTCAGAGTGTTTCCCCCAAGCAAGTTGAAGGCATTTACAAAATAATGTGCCCGACTTATCCCCCTCTCTGAGGTTGAGATCCGCCTGGGTGGCATCACATGCAGTAGTTGACATTGCATTTCCGCTTACTCCGAAAATGCCCTGTGATGCCTCAATTTTCTTTTGTATCTCCGTCTTTGAAAATCCCATCAACACCTCAATTTCAGCAATATTCATCAGGGCACGCCCTTGCCGGTGATTATCCTTCGCTGTTTGCTGGAGAATCTGATTCTGGATATTATGTGCCTCAACATATTCTGACTTGAGCTTGTGAACCTCAGCCTGAATTCCCATCAACAGATAGTTGAGCCCCCCATGAGACAGACCACATAGACCCAGCATTTTTCTGCCCTTGATGGTGAGGGCTATGCATTCTTGATATTCACCCAGTGACATCAAGCAAAGGGCCTCATAGTGAAGTCCATGTGCCTCTTTGTACACGTCTCCAGAGACTTTGGCCAGTGTCTGTGCCTCACGTGAAAGGGCTCGACCAGCAATGTGGTCACCCGCAAATGTTTCAATTTGTGCAAGGGTTATAAGTGCATCACATTGCCCCCTGTAATTTCCATTCAACTGTGCTAAGGAGAGGGCAAACCGGCCATGCTGTACAGCTGTGGGAATATCATGGTTGTGTTCAAAGTAATACCTTCCTAGAATGTTGTGAAAGTCAGCTGGCAATTGTTTTTTAGCACAGTGCATGAATGTAGAACAGAGAACATACCCTCAAGATCAGGGTCATCAAAGTACTTGAAGTGGTTCAAGGCCACAATCAATAACTCTGGATGGGATTTTGAATAATTTTGCCATGAGCGGAACAATTCAGCAATTGAATATGCTTTCAACCGGTGGTCTTCTAAGGATGGAAGGAGGGTGGTGATATCCGCCAGAAGAGTAGTTGTTCCATGTCCAGTACGCAGACTGAAGCGATTAAAATCACATGTGCAGTAAATAACATCCACAACATTGTGATACTCCCTCTGTAGGTTAGTTTTGAGGATATTCTGGATGTTTGTATAATTTGATGTTATCCGGTTGATGGGGACTGTCCCAGATGTCGTGCCAAAAGCTGCTGTGTATGATTCCAGGAGTTCCTGAAAGTATTTCAAAAGTGGCTGTATCATCTCCTCTGTGGGGGGGAATAGTTTGCCCATATATTCCCTAATGGGCACTAAGACCTTCAGCCGTTTGTGGCCATCAGTGTAGGCCAGAGCTGTACGGAGCAATGTAGCTTTACAACCAAGGATATCTGTGATTGGGAATTTTGTTTGTCTGAGCTCTACATCGGAAAGGCCATCCGGCAGCATGGATAGTAGGGCCAACAGATCCTGGGCCTGTGGCGTGGAAGCAATTCTGGGGCTTGAGAGGGAGAATGAGATTGATAACTCCAGGTTGGAACTTTTATCGGAGCCCTCTGAAATAAGTGTGGTCTTCTCTGTCCCCCACCGGAATAATATGTCTTTGCAGCCTTCTATGTCTGCCAGATGGGCCAGAAGGCTGATTGAAAGGGGCATATTGTCTGTGAGAGAAAGGACCTGGTCCACATCTTCAAGTAAATGCTTGTCGTCTGCAATATCAAGGAACATCTTTCGAGCAGCATCCTGTGCCAAGGGCAGCAAGGGCAGTAAGAATGGCCTGGTCCATTGCACTTTAGATGGCCTCTCTGCTCCACGCATTGTGATCTGGTGCTTCATGAGTGAGATGGATGAGAAAAAAGAGAAACTACAAACCACCAAAGCTAAGCTCTTTATGTCTGTGAGAAGAGAGAGGAACTCTTCAATGTCTTTGCGGGATTTTGTTGGCTCCCACACAGTTTCCAAGTTATCCAGAATGAGCAGACTGGCTGGAATACTGGAAAAGTGCTGTAAGACTGCCCGAGTGAGGTCTTTGCCAGATTTCAGACCTAGATGGGCTCCAATGAGACCTGCAAGCTCTGGTTTGCTTGATGCAGTGTCACAGGGAACAAAGAACCGATTTCCGTAGTATTTGGTGGCAACTTCCTCATGGTGAACCACTTTCCTTGCGAGGCTAGTCTTTCCCATTCCCCCGGCACCTAAAATAGCAATTCGGGGAGTGCCCTGCCTGAAGAGCTTGAGAATATTTGCCAGCTCTGAGTCACGACCATGGAATATCTTTGGCTCTGCCGGGAGCATTGAAATGGAGTTTGAACTGCATGATTGATAAATAACAAAGAAACAGGGTTATTGGAAGGAAGCACCTTGCATATGATCCAGAATACATGTTGCTTATCTGGGTAGCTGTTAATACTGGTACACTCAAAGAACCTGCCACATACAGAGGATGCTGTATCTGAACTAGGCAAAGTTTCAATCATGTTGAGTATCTCTTGGTGTCTGAGTTGAGCCTGGTCTTGCATCTCCCTCACATCGGTCATCATGTCGACAGTTTTGATCTTGGAAGACTATTAGT